TCGACAGAGAAGTCAGAAGAGCTAGGCTACCGGCTCGAAGGTTGCTATACTACGGCTGATGGGGTTTAGGTTTTAGGGTTTAGGGTTTAGGGTTTAGGGTTTAGGGTTTAGGGTTTGGAGGATCATGGGACTTAGTAAGTAAGGTTATAAGTCCCCTAATTGGGGTTGTAAGTATAGTTGCCCTAATTATAGCCCTACTTACTAAGTCCCATGATCCTTTAAGAAGTGCAGGGAGCGCGGCACACAAGGACTCTCCGAGCCACAGGCCGACTGGAACAGGAATTTAGGGTTTAGGGTTTAGGGTTTAGGGTTTAGGGTTTAGGGTTCCCATAGGCCCCATAGTAGTTCCTTTTTGGGGTTCATATTTAGAATCCTATAAGGAAATCCCAAAAAGGAACTACTATGGGGCCTATGGGGAGGGTTTAGGGGTTTTGGCTTCCAGGTCTTGGGGTTGAGGGTTTAGGGTTTAGGGGTATAGGGGTGCAGGGTTTAGGGGTTCTGGCTTCCAGGTCTTGGGGTTGAGGGTTTAGGAGTTTAGGGGTTTAGGGGCGTAGGGTTAGGGGTTGAGGGTGTCTTGGGGCTTTAGGGGACTGAATTATCAGTATTCCCCAGAACCCTAGTCGTGAGATCCCTTTGTTGGGGTGGTCTTTGGAGCCCCCTACCGAAGCCCATGACAGGATTTGCTCGCAATCTTGTATCCTTACGGGTTGAGTTTTCATACAATGTGCTTTAAACGATTCCAAAAGGGTTCTGCTTGGTGTACGGTTTAATCATGGTTTTTATGTCTCGATGTGAAGGTTCTGGAATTAGGGTCAAGGGCCTCAGGGTTAAGCTGTATGTTCTGCCACCGTGGACGCCATGGCCTCAGCCTATCCTGTCAGCGTGGAATGTTGTCGTCAAAATGCAATTCTTGTGCTGTTCGTCTCAAGGTCATCACCATCATCATCATTGTAGTGTTCTTATTATTTTTTGGCCATTGTTCTCAATAGCTTCTGTGCATCTAGCCTAATCTAAGTCCTGCCACATCTGCCGGTGTCATGTATCCCATACAGTCGTGTCTCATCTTGCTCGGCCACTTCACAGCACCCGGTCGATATTTGTGCTGTCTTGTGCTTGTGTGTATTGACCAGAAAGCTTGTATCTTGTCTGATGCGACTTAGTTCTATTCGGCCTTATCTTGCCTCAACCCTAAACCCTAAACCCTAAACCCCAATTACCATGTTTATTGGCGCAGCATCTATGTAGTCTGGCCATGTGCTGCGATCCCTGCAAGAATACACGTTGCTCCACAAGGCGCACTTGCAGAGAGGAGTTTCCCGCAAACAGGGCCCCTTAGGGTTTAGGGTTTAGGGTTTAGGGTTTAGGGTATAGGTTTTGTTCATCTTCTTAGCCAAAGCGCAGCTGCGCAGGCACTGCAGGTGGAGTGCCCCAGCGTGGAGGTGCCGGCTCTAAGCATTGGATATCGAACTTTAGTACCCTAAACCCTAAACCCTACCAGCTTTGTAAAGAAGGTCTCGTGAGCGAAAGTATCAGGCAAGGCAGGAACCTTAAAGGATCATGGGACTTAGTAAGTAGGGTTTTAAGTCCCTTAATTGGGGTTATAAGTATAGTTACCCTAAATATAACCTACTTACTACGTCCCATGATCCTGATCCTTTGAGTAAGCCCTACATGAGCCCGATTCATCGGATGGCCTGGAGTTTCACGGCTGACCTCAAGGATCCCTTTGGCGCCTAGCAGGGCACAGGACTGAAATGCCAAAAAAGCGCCTTTGCTATCATTTCCGCATCGTTTGAGTTGCATTTGCATCGTGCCTCTCTTTTTGTGTTCAGTGGTCCTTTCAGCACGAGAGGAATCAGCTTTTGGTTAGAGTCCCCTAGACCCTAAACGTCTTGTCCATGTAGCTTTCCATACCCGGTGCCCTTGAAATTGAAAGCCCCCATGGACACCTGTACGACTGTGGCAGAAAGAAACACCCCGACCACACTGTAGTTCTATACGAACCCGTAGTTTCATGCACACCCCCGATCAATATGCATCTGGCCGGCTTAAAACCTACCGGGCTATAGAGATCAGGGCTGGGTAGATGTGAGACACTTGTCAGGTCGTGACCTATGCACTGGGCTACCTCTACACCGGTGATTTAGAGGGCTGCAGCTTGGCAGGCACTCAGGCTGGCAAAAGCTGCACAAGAGTAAATGTGAAAAAGGACAACAGGCGGTGTGGGGGTAGGGGTGAGGAGTTGTGGGAATGTGTATATATATATATACATACATACATATATACATATATATGTGCTCCTCTCTCACACTTTCCATCCCTCGCCCTCTTTGTTTCTCTGACTCTATTGAGTATATGTTTATATACACACCATATATGCATATGAGTGTAAGTAAATACCCTGAACTTTAACACCCCAACTCGAGCACCGTATACAAGCATATGTATTCCCCCCGGCATGTGTATGTGTGCATATGCATATATTACAACTACATGCCTATCTCTTTATCTATCTATCTATCTATCTATCTTTCTATCTTTCTATCTGTCTATCTATCCATCTATCTATCCATCTATCTACCCATCTATCTATCTATCTACCTATCTTATCTATCTGTCTTATCTATCTTATCTGTCTATCTTATCTATCTATCTTATCTATCTATCTTATCTATCTATCGACCTATCTATCTATCGACCTATCTGTCTGTCTGTCTGTCTGTCTGTCTGTCTGTCTGTCTGTCTGTCTGTCTGTCGTTTCCAGCTATCTACGTGTATGTCTCTCTATCTGTCCATCTATCCATCTATCCATCCATCCATCAATCTATTCATCTGTTTCTTTATCTATCTATCTGTCTATCTATCTATCGATCTATCTATCTAGGCTGTTTTGGGAGCTGTGTTGCAATTTATTTCAAGCTTGTGTATTGGAATCGACTGTGTGCTGGCAGTTGCAGCACATCGCCCAGGATGTTCATGAGTTTAATTTGGGGCTTCAGGCTTTGGGGTTTTGAGTTTGCGCGTTTTTTCGGGTTTGGGGTTTGGCATTAGCACAAATAGCCGCAACTACGACAATGAGAACTTCTGTTTATGCCTTTCCGATAGTCGTATCTGTCGGTGCCAACCCAGTATTCAAGATGCTGCATGCTTCGAAAGCCCCGGCGAATGCTGTTCCATGCTAGCGCATTGTCCCAGGTAGCTTCCAGAAAGATGCGGAGAGGTGCGGCGAGAACGGTCGTCCAAGAAAGTTCGAATTAGTTTCGGTGGCAATGGTGCTCGTGCCCACGAGTAATCATCATCATCATCACCATCATCATGATCATCATCATCATTATCATCATCACCATCACCATCATCACCATCACCATCACCATCATCATCATCACCATCACCATCATCATCATCATCATTATCATCATCGCCATCACCATAATCACCATCACCATCATCACCATCACCATCACCATCATCATCATCACCGTCAGCATCATCACCAGCATCATGATCAACACTCTTCATCTTCATCACCATCACCATCATCACCAGCATCATGATCTACACTCTTCATCTTCATCACCATCACCATCAACAACAGCATCATTATCATAGCAACGTCATCAACAACATCACCGTCATCATCAGCAGCATCGTCGTCAACATCATCATCAGGATCGTCATCAGCATCGTCATCAGCATCAATCTTCATCGTCATGAGCATCATCATCATCACCACCGTCATCATCATCATCATCCCCACCGTCTCCTTCTGCTCCTCCTTCTCCTTCTCCTTGTCCTGCTCCTTCCCGCCTCCAGCTCCTCCCCCTCCTCCTGCTCCTCCGCCTCCTCCTCCGCCTCCTCCTCCTCCTGCTCCTCCTCCTCACCATCATCATCGTCAGCATCATCATCATCATCATCATCATCATCATCATATCATCACTGTCGTCATAAAAATATTCGTCCTCCTCATTTTTACGATCGGTTTGCTTCGTCTTCTGCACCGCCATCGTCATCGTCATCA